TTGCGGACGTCCACGCATGGGGCAGGATCTCCCCGGAGGGCGGACTTGCCCCCGAGACTTGTTCTCGACGTCCTCCTTGCGCCAAAAGCGCGTCTCCGCCGAGCGGACGGCGACGCTGACGGCGACGCTTAGACAGTGCGAAGCCACGTTTTCACCGCCGAATCCATCCGCCTTGTTTCTCCCTCCGTCCATCCCACCTCTGCTCGCTGGTGCCACTTCCTCGTCCCCGGCTGAGAGCTGTGAAGCACCACCGAGGTGCTCCCACGTGCTGATCCGCGCTCGAAACGCCGAGGCTACGAGCTTTTACTGACCCCAAGGAAAGCAGCTGCGGCCTCTCTGCTCCTAAAACGCAGCGCAGCCCAAGGACGAGGGACGAGAAGCTCGGAGAGGTGTCCCGGTGCGGGGCCTCGGCTCCCCTGGGCGGTTGGAGACGGCTTTCTCAGGACCTTTCCGTTATCAGGTTCGTCTGGACCTTGCACTTCGGGCCCTTTCGCCCCTGCGTCTCCCCGAACCTAAACCACGGGCAGGTTTTTCAGCTTCCACTCGCGCGGCTCAGCGGAGCCAGTCGCTCTCGCTGCGCAAGAGAGGAGAAACGCTGGAAACCCGCCGCGGTGACTCACGGGCGAGAGGTTCGGGCTGGTTCAGTCCACAGAACATCATGTCCTCTTGGAGCTGAATTTCCTCGCCCGAGCTGGAGCCTTTCTGTCTTGGCTGCCTGAGCAAACAGTGCAGTTGCGACACCCTGAAACCATCGTGTTTAATCATGAACAGCCTGCGCTACGGGGGATTAAATTTGATGCAAAATGTTCAACTCTGCTTTTTGGATATTCAGCAAGGGTGTGGGTGTTCGACTTGGTTGGGGCTGTATGGGTATCCTGGCAGGAGTGAGGAATGAAATAAGCTTCCCGTTAGCTTTCATCCTACAGCTTCCTATTTTTGGCGTGAGACCATCGTACTTGGCTCTGAGAATCCCTCAGTTTTCAGGGTGTGCAATTAGAAAACATGCTTTTTTTTCTCCCCATAAAACCCCACACGAATACTGCCCATGAAACAACCAAGCCAGAAGCCCCCCACCCCTCCTCGTAGCCCTACGCAGGGAGAATAGCGAGCAACATGAAAAGCGGGCGCTTGAAAAAACAACAAATGCTCGGAGCAAATCCCCCCTCAGGCGCCTTCTAGGTGCAGCGCTGGGGCGGCAGTTTGTTGCTGCGCCCTCGCTGGACTCCTGGCCTACAACCTTGCCTCGTTACCCACCCACGGTCAAGACCAGAACAAGTGCTTTTGTGAGTAACGTGACATTTATTTGCTACAAAGCCCCTTGCAGCAGAGGGCTGGCCCAGGCGTCAGCCATACGTGACCATGATAAGTGGAGGACTGACCAGAAGTTCAAACCATAGCAAACCGTTTACTCCAGCTTCTCCATGGGTCTGCGGCCAACAGATAATTAGTTTGGTTTTTGGTATCAAGCATGAAAATAAATGCGCGCATCTTTCCACAAGTATAAAAACAAACTCTGGCTATAAGTCCGGGCAAACGGGAGCAGGAAAACACGAGCTGAAGTTGTCCGCAGGGGCGTTCTCCTTGGGAGAAAGACGCTCGTAGGGCCACTCAGCAACAAACTCGGCCACGTGTGGTGGCCTCAAAACTTCTTCAAGCCAAATTTTAGGAAGCTTCAGATCGCTTACTCTGTCATTGAGCTGACTCTTTGTCAGGAAGGTGTTTGCTTGCTCCCGAGCTAACAGCTGGAACAGGGAGGGAGGAGGAGGACTCGGTGCGAGCACAGTATTTCCCCCCTCGGGAGTTCATGAGCCCTTCTGAAGCCGCACGGGGGAAGGTGTTTTTACCAACTAGCACTTGTTTTAAGACAGCGAAACGTGGAGGTGTTCTCAGAAGGGGGCTTAGCCTCTTGCCGTGGTCCTGCTAGGCTGCATTTTCCTGGGCTGAGCAGCAAAACAGGCTGGAAAGGAGCCTTTTACGGAAGACGTGGATCGGCAGGGACCGTTAAGCAGGGTCCTTCTGGTCTGAGACTAGGGGGAGCAAAGAGCGGATGCCAACTCACTGCTATGGAAGGAGGTAGAAAATCAAACAGATTTAGGTTTATCCTATGCCAAGTATTGGTTTTATTTTAAGCCAATTAAAAATGTGACCAGAGGGGGCTCTTAAGGCTGGAGATGCGTGTGGGACACAAAACGAAAGTCTCCGTGGGTTGCTGGCTCACAGAGCCTGGGAGGAAGTTTCACAAAGTAATACATCATAAAAAGCCCACGCCGTTTCCGCTGCTGTCTTTCACCTAGGGACTCAAAAGCATGTTTCTAAGAGTAACGAGGCCTCCAGCACTCACCGTCCTCAGCTCGCAGACAGGGAAGCGGTCGTGTTGACGGCAGAGCGCCCGAGCCCCGGCAGCAGCCCTTCGGAAAGAAGCCGAGTACTCTCCGCTTTTTTGCCTCCCTGGTTAACGGAGACAAAGTGCTGACACGGAGACGTCAACCGGACAGTCGGGGCCTGCGACAGAGCTGGGCATGTGAAAACCAACCCCTCAAATCAACCGCTGGCGGGAAAAGGTTTTTGAAGTCGTAGCGAGGAGGCTCTCTCCGCGATGCTCCTGAAACACCTGTAGAGCCCGCTGCTTTCGCAAGCGTTACAAGCCAGGGACACAGTCCCTAACGGCGACAGCTGCTCCGCTGACATTAAAGCCCGTTGGTGTGACGAGGGAAGTGCCACCGCTTCCTGAGGAGTGATGCCGGTTCAGCCCGTTCTCGTCCGCGCGAGCTGCTGGGAACGCTTTGATCCCGTGATGCTGCAGGGCCCGAAAACCGCCCTTATAGCTCTGTCGGCTCTCCCCATATTCCTTTGGGAATGCCAACGCCGTGGCCGGCGCTGCAGAGGGGACAGGGCCACTGCCCGGCCGCGCAAGACAAAACGCACCTGGCGGCTGGACTGCGAG